CGAAGTTAAGAGTGGGGTGGTTTTTCTGAGAATCAAATTCTCTTTTTTAGAAATTGGGGCAAAGTTTTTAAGATGGATTCCAAAAGTTGTAAATAAATTAACCCCGTTGTCTTAGTTATTTTGAGACTTTATGATATCCTTTCTTTTAATCCTGTCCAAAAGCCACATTACAGTCCAAAAAAAAGACCTTTCGGATAATCTTTGAGAGTGCTGAGTTTAAACATGCCAAGGGTATACGATGTTTTTACTATGGTTAATGCCTTGTCATCTGCCGAATCAGAGGAAATAAGAAGAAAGAAACAAAATGAGAGAGTCTTATCGGTGAAAACCTTCACAGGTACCATAAGGCAACAGTGAGTTGAGAGAGAGAACAAAATGAAAGAGGCTTGATGGTGAAAACCCTTTGGGCACTACAAGTTGAATAAGGATTGTGAATCAAATAGGATAATCGGAGCATTGAAGCCTAGTTTCACGGCAAAGAGGTACAATAAGAGTTGAACATTAGACTTGCTTGACAGACTAGACCACTTAATCCAGAGGTGCATGTCATGGTCATTAGATTTGGTATCCACATCTGATAAGTTTCTACTTCGTAGTTTTCTTATTAGGAATCATCTCTTTCCTTTGTCCTTTACTATGTTCCTTCTGTCTTGTTTACTTCCTCTTCCTAAGTTTGTTTGGTTAGAACAAGTGAGAAATGACTTCAAAATTTGTCACCAGCTTTCCAATTGCACAAAGCGGAGTCTGGCTAGTACATCAAAGTGGCATAAGTCAGGAAAGAACAACATGCACACAGAGTTGGTAACAATCAATGTGCTTTGGGATTCATGTGAAATACAAAGGTTTGGTATATGTCAATTCATGAACAATGCAACGGATAAAGGGTGTTGGGTTTGAATGGATCAAGGGAATTTTCTATGCTAAGGTTGACAGAGAAGTTGTTAACCAATAACAAGCAAGATCTTCTAATTGAGAATCAAAGTTATCATGGCAAGTGAAGGAGCAATAGACCTCAAGGACAAGGCCAGTGGCATACGTCAGGAAATAACAGCAAGCGCACTGAGTTGGTAAAAATAAATGTGTTTTGGGAATCACATGAAGTACAAAGGTCGGTAAATGTCAATTTATGATCACAATGCAGCAGATAGAGGGTTTGGTTTTGAACGAATCAGGGGTATCTTCTGTGATAAGGGTGACAGAGAAAGTGGTCAGTCAATAAACAAGCAAGGTCTTTCGAGTTGAAATCAAAGTTATCATGGGAAATGAAGGAGCAATCGCCCTCAAAGTCAAGGCCACAAACTAACCACCATATTTATAAACTCACAAGTTTTCTTTGTTTGAAACAGGGACGAAAATTGTGTCCAAATCAAAGCTTGGAAGTTTGAACTTTCTTCAAGTGTCGTGCCCAAATTTTGTCAGCACAAAGGCGGTTTGAGAAGGGGAAGGAAAATTTGTTCGATCTGTAGGAACCCTCCATGAGGAAAAGCATGGTTCAGGGGCAAGGAATTTTGTTCGTTCTACAGATATCCTCCAAAAAGAAAGCATGGCTCAGGTAAATTCATTATCGGCACAGGACCCTCCTGGATAATGGAATTTAGTTTTAAGTGTTCATGACCCTCCTGGACAACGGGATTTAGTTTTAAGACCTTCATAGATAATAAAATTTAGCGTAAGTTTTACCTTTAGAAAATAGGATTTAGCTTTGAATTTGTCACTCTTAAGATGAGATTTAATTTTAAATTTTCAGGACCCTCCTGAACAATGGGACCTAGTTAAAATTCAAAACATTCATGAGTAACAAGTTCTAGCATAAGCTCTACTTTGAGGAAATATAAGTTGGTTATGAAGTTTCATTCTTAGGACAAGATTCAATTGGAAATTTTCAGGACCCTCCTGAATAACGGGACCTAGTTTTAAGACCTTTATTAGATAATGAGATTTAGAATAAGTTTTGCCTATAGGAAGTTGGATTTAGTTTTGAAGTTTTCACTCTTAAGATGAGATTTGATTTTAATTTTCAGGACCCACCTGGATAATGGGGCCTAGCTTTTAAACTCTTAGAGAGATTGGGTAACATGATTCAATTAACACTTACAGATGTCCCCAACTACCAAGATAGGGCAGAAAAGTTTCTTTTGTTTTATCTGTTTTGTTGTAATCAGGTTCAAAGGAAAAGTAGTTTCAAGAAGAGGACAATTCAAGCTCAGCAATCAGGCACCCACCTGGAGAAACAAGGGAAAACAGTCCGAGTTTCAAGGGAAAGTAGTTCAAGTTCAGCAGTCAGGCACCCACCTAGAGAATAAGGGAGTACATCACAAGTTTCAAAGGAAAACAGTGCGAGTTCAGCAATCAAGCGCCCACCTGGAGAGCAAGGGAAAATAGTGCAAGCTTCTAGGGAAATCAGTTCCAAGTAGCAAGAGAAGATGGTTCGAGTGTCGGCAATCAGGCGCCCACCTGGAGAAACAAGGGAAAACAATTCAAGTCTCAGAGGAAAGAAATACAATTCAAATATTGGTAATCAGGCACCCACCTGGATAACAAAGGGAAAGCAGCAATATTCAAAGGAAGACGGTTCAAGTTCAACAATTAGGAGCCCACATGGAGAACAAGGAGAAGTAGTTCAAGTCTCAAGGAAAACAGTGCAAGTGTTGGAAATTAGGCACCCACCTGGAGAACAAGGAGAAGCAGTTCGAGTCTCAAGGAAAATCATGCGCAAGTGTTGGGAATCAGGCACCCACCTGGAGACCAAGGGAATACAGTTAAAGTTTTGGTAATTAGGCACCCACCTGGAGAGCAAGGGAATACAGTTAAAGTCTTGGCAATCAAGCACCCACCTGGACAGTTCAAGTTTTGGCAATCAGACGCCCACCTGGAGAGCAAGGGAATACAGTTAAACTTTTGGCAACCAGGCGCCCACCTGGAGAGCAAGGGAATGCAGTTAAAGTTTGGCAATCAGGCGACCACCTGGAGAGCAAGGGAATATAGTTAAAGTTTGGCAATCAGGCGCCCACCTAGAGAGCAAAGGAAGTGTTGGCAATCAGGCACCTACTTGGAGAACAAGGAAAAATAGTTCAAGTTTCGAGGAAAAGCAATTCAGAGTTTTGGTAATCAGGTGCTCACCTGGAGAGCAAGGGAATGCAGTTCAAATATTGGCAATCAGGCGCCCACCTGGAGAGCAAGGGAATTCAGTTAAAGTTTTGCAATCAGGCGTCCACCTGGAGAGCAAGGGAACACAGTTAAAGTGTCGGCAATCAGGCGCCCACTTGGAGAACAAGGGTAAAGCAAGTCAAGTTTCAAAGAAAAGCAGTGCAAGTGTTGAAAATCAGGAGCCCACTTGGAGAACAAAGGGAAAGCAGTTCAAGTGTTGGAAATCAGGAGCCCACCTAGAGAACAAAGGGAAAGCAATGCAAGTGTTGGTAATCAGGAGCCCACCTAGAGAAAAAAAGGGAAAGCAGTTCAAGTGTTGGAAATCAGGAGCGCACCTGGAGAACAAAGGGAAAACAATTCAAGTGTTGGTAATCAGGAGCCCACCTGGAGAACAAAAGGAAAGAAGTTCAAGTTTTGGAAATCAGGAGCCCACCTGGAGAACAAAGGGAAAGCAGTTCAAGTGTTGGAAATCAGGATCCCACCTGGAGAACAAAGGGAAAGCAGTTCAAGTGTTGGAAATCAGGAACCCACCTGGAGAACAAAGGGAAAACAATTCAAGTGTTGGTAATCAGGATCCCACCTAGAGAACAAAGGGAAAGCAGTTCAAGTGTTGGAAATTAGGAGCCCACCTGGAGAATAAAGGGAAGTAGCAATGTTCAAAGGAATACAGTTCGAATGTTGGAAATCAAGCGTCACCTGGAGAATAAGGGAATTCACTTCATAATGCAATTTAAGTCAGTAACAAAAGAAGCTCGTGGCAAGAATGCGAGTCAACAGTCCGAGATGATCAACAGAAGTTAGTCACAATACAGAATAAAAAAAAGGAAGGCAAGAAGTGAATCCAAATGCAGAAGTTGATGAAAGATGAGAGCTGCTCGAGACATGTCTGAAGTCTCAAGCATGGTATGTCCGGTTTTTATCCGAAAAGCTGAAGAAGAATGAACTAGCACCTGCAAGTAGCAAGCGTCAAGGTTCAAATCCAAAGTCTGCATGAAGAACCATTCAAGACCCAAGATCAAGCTTTAGAAGACTTATAGATAGAAATCTTGTAACTCATAGTTGATAGGCTTAGCTAGTCTTTTTCATTTTTTGATTTTTGATGTAATAACAAGACCGTTCGTAACCTCGACGGAATGGCACCTCGATCGGCTCTCCACCTCGGCATACTCCATCATTTCACTCACTTCTAAACTACACGTGGCCTGATTCCTTTATAGCCAAGGATATGTAGGTAGCTCAGATACCAGGGTCCGATCACATTCTCCTTCCTCTTAATTTTTGGTCTCCTTAAATGAGGGTCGGGTCAAAAGCTTGTCTAGTCGTTCTTTGTCTGAAAACTCTTCGCGTTTCCAGTCAAAGAGGGGCAGCTGTAGACATGTGATTTTTGACCCTCCCCAAGATTTTTTATATTTTAGCATGTCAATATTTAATTTAGGCCTAATATCGTTATTTCAACTATTTTTGACTCTTTTACTTTATTGTATTACAAGAAAATGAAAATTACAAAAACAAAATTTATTAATGTTTTGTAGTCATTTTTAGTCTTAAAAGATACCAAAAATAGTTTTGTATTAATAGTCAGTATTATTTTAATAGTTATTTTACTTAAGTAGGATTAATTAATAAATGAGATCGTATTTTTAGTTTCGTTCGCGGGGAAAGAATAAAACTTGGGCTCGAGCTACCCATTTTTATGCCTAATTTTGGACCTAGCTCATAATTCGCAAGCTCATAATTCCTAGGCTCATACCCCCTAACCTAAAAAACCCCATAAAACAATTAGACTCTAAGACTCTAAAAGGAGATGAGCTGAAAATGCAACAAAAAAAATCAGACCTAGACCCTATGACAAATCCGCCGTTTTCTCAAAATAAGAACCCCTCACGATATCATCTTTTTGAGGAAGCTAACCGAAAAACCTTGAAGACCTAACAATAATTCTAGAGGAGCTAAAAGTATCAGCAGCAACCGATAACACTCTAGAGCATAAGAGACCTAGAGAGTAAAAGAGATCAGTGCCGCTACACCAAGGAAAAGAACCCACCCCACTATTCTTCATCTTCTTCAGAAAAGGCCCAGAGCTAACGCCGATAGGGACCAAAAGAGCTGAAAGGAGCATCGGCTGAGGACAAAACAACGACCACCAAAAAACCAGCCCCCTACCGCCGCTGCCCTCCTCCAACGGCCAGCCACTCCGTCCTCGAACAAGCACAACCACGAGCTCACCTTTAAATCGCTGTCCCTCTCTCTACAAGAACCAGCTGAAAACAACTTCAAAAAAATCGTATGAAAATTCGGCTCAAATCAGCCCCGCCGCAACCCCGAAAACGCATCAAACTTCACTTTCGATCAGCTCTTTGAGATTCATTGTTCTTCGGGTCGAGTAGAGTTCGAGTCATCGGTGAGATTCGAGTTTCTCCCACGAGTTTCGGTCAATCTTTCGCTTGTCGAGGCCTGGTCGCGGTCCTGTGCATTGTCAAGCTTCAAAACAAACAGAATCATATTAATTTTGGAGGTCCGTTTCTCACTCTTATCTTTCTCTTCAATCTTGTATATCAATTTTTTATGGTATGAAGTCTTTGTTGTGTGTGTGCTTGAGATTGTTAGTATGTTCGCATGAGTTGGAATTCACGTTGCTTTCATGTTCTCTACCGGTTAGTTTTGGGATCATTGTTGGATCATTAGCCTTTTAATTAGGCTTGACTAAGAAAAAAAGGGAAGAAAATGTACTGATGGTTCCATATCAATTCGCATTAGTATGTTCACATGCCAAGGAAGATTTTTTGGAGTTTCTTTGGAATTCAAAAAAAAAAACTAATGACAAACGATGCCTTAATTGCTGTTGAAGATATGCCACCATTGTTCATTGTCATTTATTAGCAAATTTGTTGACGGGACAATTCCATTTGATCAGTACTTGAGGAAATAGATTTGAGGTATGCCATAAGCAAATTAAATTATCTATGGCCCTCACAAATGTTAATTTAGATATTAAAAATGAACTTCGTAGTTGCTTTAGGCACGTCAATTATATAATTATCACACCTATTACTAAAACCTGGGGGTACATTTCATGTGACCCGGTTCTAATTTCCAACAAGGTTAAATAGAACGTGTTGTGAACCACGGGTGCATTTCATGTAGCGTAGCTCGCGATATGTTTTAGGTAACCTTGAATTGATTCTTTAAATAAATAAAAGTGGCTAAAAGGTTAAAAATACACAATAGGTTTAAAACGTGTAAAAGATCAAATAAATAGGCCAATAATAACAGTTGAGCGACCGTGCTAAAACCACGAAACCCGGGAATGCCTAACACCTTCTCTCGGGTTAACAGAATTTCTTACCCGGATTTCTGTGTTCGCAGACCATAATTAGAGCCAAATATTCCTCGATTCGGGATTCTAAACTAGTGAATTGGGACACCATAAATTATCTCAAGTGGCGACTCTAAATAAATAAATAAATCCCATTTCGATTGTCACTTAAATTGGAAAAAACTCACTTATACCCTTCCGGGGTAGTAAAAAAGAGGTGTGATATTACCCACCGAGAAACATAATGCATAAACCCAACATCTCGGGGCGCTTGGACAAATGGGCCATGGAGATCAGTGGGTAGGATATCGAGTATCGACCCCAGACCGCCATTAAGTCTCAAATTTTGGCAGACTTCATGGCCGACTTTACGTCGGCCTTGATAACCGAGGTCAAAAGAGAGTTGTTTTTGAACTCGGGGACTTCTTCGGGAATCTGGACCCTCTTTACGGACGGTTCCTCAAGCGCAAAGGGATCCGGACTTGGCATAGTATTGAAGACACCAACATCTAGTGTAGTTAGATAATCTATCAGGACTGTAAAATTGACTAACAACGAGGCTGAGTATGAGGCCATGATTGCAAGTCTCGAACTGGTCAAACGTTTGGGGGCAGAGGTGATCGAAGCTAAGCATGACACCCTCCTTGTGGTGAACTAAGTTAATGAGATGTTTGAAGTCTGGGAGGAACGAATGAACAGATACCTGGATTACATCGGTTCAAGGTGTGTACCTTACAACATGTGCTTCAGGATCAAAACAGTGAGGCTGATGCTCTTGCTAACTTGGGATCGTCGGTTAACGACGATTTTAACTCGGGGGCGGTCGTACATCTCATGAGATAGATAGTGGAAGAAGGTCATGCCAAGATAAACTCAACAAGCCTAACTTGGGACTGGAGAAACAAGCATATAGAGTACCTGGATACCGGAACACTGCCCTCGGATCCCAAGGAATCAAGGGCTCTACGTACGAAGGTGGCCCGGTTCAGCTTGTCCAAAGACGGTACCCTATTTTGGAGAATGTTAGATAGCCCACTTGCAATATGTCCAGGACCAGGAGATACCGAGTATGTTCTGAGGGAAGTCCACGAAGGCACATGCGGAAATCATTCGGGCGCCGAATCATTGGTTCGGAAAATAATTAGAGCTGGCTACTACTAGATTGACATGGAAAAAGGTGCGAAAGAGTTCGTACGAAAATGTGATGGATGTCAAAGGCATGCTCCAATGATTCATCAGCTCGGGGAGCTGTTGCATTCGATCTTGTCACCCTGGCTGTTAATGAAATAGGGGATAGACATCGTCGGCCTCCTTCCATGGGCACCCGGTAAGGCTCAATTTATATTGTTTATAACTGACTATTTTTCTAAATGGGTGGAAGCCCATGCATTTGAGAAATTCAGGGAGAAGGAAGTCATTGATTTCATCTGGGACCACATAATATGCCGGTTCGAAATGTCGGCCAAGATCATGTGCGACAATGGGAAGCAGTTCATTGATAGCAAAGTAAGTAAGTTTTTCGAAGACCATAAGATCAAAAGGATCCTATCAACATCCTACCACCCTAGTGGGAATGGGCAAGGGGAGTCCACAAACAAAACCAGACTCCAAAATCTCAAAAACATATTGACCGAAGCCAAAGGAAAATGGAAAGAAATCTTGCTGAAGTCCTATGGGCATACCATACGACCTTGAAGTCCAGTACCAGGGCCACCCCGTTCACATTGGTTTATGATGCCGAAGCTCTAATACCGTTCAAAGTAGGAGAACCGTGTCTCAAATTCCGATATGCGACCGAAGAGTCGAACGACGAGGACATGAATACGAGCCTGAAACTATTAGATGAATGGCGCGAGTGCGCCCTCGTCTGGTTGGCCGCCCAAAAACAACAGATCGAAAGGTATTACAATCGAAGAGCCAACCTTCGACACTTCAATGTCGGGGACTTGGTGTTAAGGAAGGTCACACTAACCACTCGGAACCCAAACGAAAGGAAGCTAGGACTGAACTGGGAAGGTCCGTATCAAATTATCGAGATAACCGGAAAAAGATCGTACAAACTCGAAGCAATGAACGGTGAGCAACTACCGAACAACTGGAACGTAGCTCACTTGAAACGATATCAATGCTAAGGTATGATCCCATTCATTTATTTTATTTATTTATTGAACTAACATTTACAGGTAATATTCAAGAAACGATGCAACTTTTAGGCCTGAAAGCACGTGTTGCACTCTTTTTTTCTTGAACTGGTTTGTCCCAAATGAATTTTACGACAAGGTTTTTAATAATGCAGCGACAGATCGTGCTAACTTAGAATTGAATACCGGATATGAATCAGTGCCAAGAATCGCATCAACAGTACCCGAGGCTTCTCTATGATAGGCCTCGAATACTGGGGGAATCACCCTTGGAGAATAATTTTAGCAAGGAAAGAAAATTTGTGATCAAACAGTCTAGGCGCGGTCGATAGGATTTACTGTAAGGGCCAAACGGTCAAATGAACTGTGCCCACATAGACCACCTGAGACGTGACACAAAACTTGTACACATGTGTAACCTTGTACATTACGCATAAAAATGAAAGGAAGTTTCTACCTTACGGATAAATATTTTGTCCCTTAAATTTTTTGTTGTTTTCTTTCTTACATTTGGTCCCCTAAAGACATCGAGCCCAAAAGCCACCTCACTCGGGGACTGTCGTCCAAAGTAGGCTTGAACGACGCGGTATATCAAGGCCCGGGGACACAAAGCCTATCATGCAGTGCCCGTACTTTAAAGGCTACGGCCATCCCCGTTTGGGGACGGTTGTCAAAAGTAAGCCCAGATGACTTGGGGTAACAAGCCCATTGGGAAACACCCGAACGAAAAAAGGCTACGACTATCCTAGAACAGTTCTGAGGTGTCCGACACCCATAACCAAAACATAAGGCCTTCAAAATTTCTAAACCAGTTCAAAAGGCTACCCTCGACAAAATTGTAATCTAAAATATTCTAAGTACTTTGGGGAAAAGCTTTTGGTTGTACCGAGCCCCCCACAAGTCTTAAGCAAAATAATATCAGGAACGAGGCATGTTCGAACGTCCGAATAAGACATAGTTATTACGTGCTAAGGCATTTGATATCTTTTCAATCGTAAAGAAAAAGTTTGAAATTTATTGAAGGAAGAAAACCTTGTATTATATTAAAAGATTTTTACAAAGGCCAAACTGCCTCGACAAGAAATTTTTCAAAGGCCAAACACTCTCGACAAAAAAACAAAAAATCAAAAACATCTGCAAGGCAGCTAAGCAGCCTGGTCCTCACCGGAGTCCGCCTCATTATCGGGACCATCAGGGTCTTCTCTACACCTAGATCTGCCTGGACCCTCGAAGTCTTTTTCATCCTCGGGGTAAGCCAACTTCTTGGCCTCGGCCTCAAGCCCCTTAGCACTTTTGATCTCGGTCGATAAATCAAAATCCCGAGCATGAACCTCCTCGAGGGCCTCCCTTCGGGGATGCCGCTTCTTATTCTCAACAATGTCTTTCAAGAGGTCTTGGGCTACCTCGGCATCGGCTCTATACTGGGCCACCATCTCATCGACATCAGACTTAGTTATTTCATCCACCAACTTGGCAGCTTTATGTTCCTTGGCGAGGGTCTCCCGATTGGCAACAACCGAGATAGTTAAGACTTGAGCTCCTCAATTTTTTGGGACTGTGCCTTAGCCTACTCCCTCATCGCTCTAAGTTGAGCCTTTGTCGAGGCCAATTTCACCCAGGGAGTTTCCTTTTTCAAGGCCAAGAGGTCCATTTTTCCTTTCCACTCTTCATCATTGACCTTGATTACATCCATCTTGGCCCCGAGCTAGTCGATCCGATCCATCTTCATTTGGACCTATGGGTTTTGACTATTAGTCACCATGTCTAGCTCATCATCACTAACTTCAAAGATTTTACCTATTCCACCAGGTCGACGTGTTCTTTCCGAGACACGTCCAACTCGGCTCGAAGGCTCTTAGCCTCTCCTTCACTTGTCTCACTGAGAAGTTTGTACATGTCTCTCTTCTCAACGAGCTCGTTGACTTCGGCCTCGAATTGGCTCAGCTCATCTCAATACCGAAGGAAGGTATCGTGGTGAAGCACTAAGGCCTGCAAATATTAGAAGAAATATTAGGATAACCAATAACCAAGGTTGAAAAATTAAAAGGTTTGGTAAAA